TTTTTTTTTTTTTGCACTATTACAGAAATCACTTGGGTTTTATTTAGAATTGGAGAAAAATGGTGTCAGGGTGTACATATGCACTTGTAAGACAACCAAAGGTCCCATGATTTCATTTTATGCTCTCTAGCAGAGCTCTGCATGTTTTTAAAGTTCAGTATTGCTTAGATTGTTTTCCCCAGGGTCATTGATGCTCCCATCAGAGAGTGTGTTGCGTCACAATATTCTGTAGTTGCTGTTCCTTGGACAAAAACTTTAAGATTGATAGTGACAGTGTTTGGTATCTGTTGTGGGTAATAACCTGTAAACATTGCATCAGATATAGCTATAGGAAAACGTATCAAACATCTGGTGTCACCAGGTACTAATAAATCTGAAGTCAGTTTCACTAATGACGCCAGATGCTGTAATCCCATCAGCTAATCAGCAGAGCGTTTTGTGAAAGAGGTTTTCAGTCTTGGACATGAACAAATTGGTCCAAATCTGATAAAATAGTACAGAAAAGAAGCTTAGTTTATTCCATCAATTTATCAATCAGTGGGTTTGTGAATTAGCAAACCCACTGATTTATTCATCTATTACTTTCTCTGTTTGTTTTTCCAATCTATGTCTGTCATGAAATTATTTATTCATTCTTTGTTACATTTCAGTTTGAATTTCTTGTGGATTTTCTCAAACGCCTGCCGGGTCAAAACGAACACATCTCATGTTAACTTTTTGGTTCAGACTTTTAACCTAGTTTTTGTTCTTCTTGTCAGATATATGCCTGCATGATGGTCTTCTTCTTCAGCAATATGATTGAAAACCAGTTAATGTCGACAGGAGCGTTTGAAATCACATTAAACGGTGAGCATTTCCTTTCCAGCATGGCTTCAGAGACTAAACCCTAACTTCTTGTTAGACTGTGTGACATCCACAGCCTTTTATTGGTGAAAATGCATTATTATATTTGACGTGTGGAGCTACATGTAAGCAACATTTATTACTTGTTATTGTGCTGCCGCTCCAAGGATAAGAAAAACCCAGCCACATTCAAAGTCTTGTTTCCATAGACGTGCCAGTGTGGTCGAAACTAGAATCGGGTCACCTCCCCTCGATGCAACAACTCGTGCAAATCCTGGACAACGAGATGAAGATGAACGTTCACATGAACACAAGAACGCATCACCACTCCTAACCCTACTTTTCAAATCCTGGCTGGAGCTGAAAGCCCCTCCTTGTACGTTTATTCTGAATTTCTTTTTATGTTCGCTCAGTCTTGACGAGGTGTAACGTGTGACCCACGCCGACTCTTTCTTGTCCCCAGGTTCGAGGTGGGCTTCTCTCTGAGCTGTGAAGTGATGTTTATGAAGGTCTGCGCTGAAGGCAGGAGGACTGCTGGCACAGACTGGATGCCCCCCATCACTCTTCACCGCGCTCCGCAGAGACGTCCTGCCCCTGACGCCAGAGCGGGATCCATGGCAACAGTTTAGGCTGTTCTGTTATGTTCTTGTACTATCCATATTACTGCTGATTTCATCCAGGCAATTAGTGGTCCACTGAGGGGAGATTTAACATCGATTATTGTAGTCTTTAACCTGTTTCATATAATTGACCTTTGTGAATGGAAAAGAAAAAAAAAAATGTTATTTGTACCAACGAGCCATATGTAGAATTCTAAGTGTACCTATCAGAAACGTAGGTAACCGTATCAAAAATAAACCAATTAAGATCTGTAATAATTGTTGTGACAATACCATTAAGACCATGTCTTGGAAAGATTTCTGAATAATTTTTATATTTACATATGTTGGAGGAAGCTATGAATATTAATAAAACATTGTAACAATTTCAGTGTGAAGCTGGGTTAAAGTGTTTCTATTTATCATAGATTTAAAAAGACCAATTACCGTAATTTATCTCACTTGTGTAGCTTGATTTATTTTTTTTCCCTTTTCTGTATCTCTGCTTGCCTAAATGTTGAAACAAAAAGGAGGACAGATTAACCTCTAAATGTTTTATTTTTTTTATAAAACTTTAAAGCATGTTTCTGCAATAATTGAAATAACTTGAGGTCGAGAGAAGAAGCTAAGGGGTCAGGTAAATTTCACCATACTTGAATCTTGCAAGGAGATGGTATTTTTCTGCAAATCAGAATTTATGAAATCAATTTCTATATGTATTTGTTTGTCAATGTGTAATCACATTGATGCTGTTATTCATAAATCCTGATGTCTCAGTGAACCATCTTAGTGGTTTACAGATGAAAACAGTTTGATCTCCTTTGTGCTCATGTTAGGATGTATTTGGGTTCTCTTTTGATTAGGCCAAGCAAATCAGGTTGGATATCAAGATCTAAAGATTCAGGGAGTCTCGTGTATGGTCGAATATTAAAAATGAGCCCCGGGGAGTTGGAAGAGTATGCTATAGTTATTGCATTAAATAAGAAAGATTGTGATGAATTGGCAAAAATACAATGATAAATTATGAACCATATTCACATTCAGATTATTGAATATGAACCATGCTCCATAGATGTTCTGCCTCTGACACCAGAGTTGGATTCATGAATATGAATACATGGGCTTTACTTGGCACCTCAGCAGAGGCTTAAGCTGCACTGATGTAGTTCATGGATGGGTGTACTGCACAGAGCATGGACATTCTTTTCAGTAGATGTCAATTTCTTGATCAGAAATGTTATAGTGTTCTGAAAAGGTGAATTTTTGTTCACCTCAGCTTTGAACCAAAATGATCAAAATGTCCAGACAACACGTGAACTATCCTGAGTTATAAATCTTGAGTTTCAAAGGTATCCTAGTTCACTGGGATGCAACAACAGTATACTGGAATCCGACTTCAACACATTAGCAATATGTAATGCACCCATGTATGAAGACTTTGTCGCTATTAGTCATCTCTTCATCTCCACCAACTTCCAGAAGTCTTTGAGCAGCAGCATGAAGATTGTGGAGAATGTTTTTGTTTTTTATCTTAGGAGATCAATGTAGGTCACACCAGGCATTGGTGAAGATGTTGAATTCCCAGGTTCATTGGTTAACAACACTACCGTCTCCTATTATTTCAATAGAAATATGTTGAAGTATTCCTGCTGGAGTTCAATTTCTGGCCACTCCACCTTTCTCTGCTAAGCTGTAAACTATTCCGCTAATTACAGTGCAGCAGGTCTCGCGACATTTCATTGACTGGTGCAGCACGTGCTGCACTGGGTTTAAGCGGCCAATTAATTAAAGGTTAAATAGCAGGTGACAGTACTGCTTCACAATAGTTAGGCAGCAGAAAACAATGGGTGTGGGACGGAAAGCGCATCCCCCAGTCTGCTTGGTTGCAGCTGTTTTTCTAATGTGTTATTTGGTGCCGCTTGCGGACTGCCTTCGACTGAGGAAAACTCAGAGACCAGCGGTGAAGAGAGGGTCTGTTCATTCTCCCACCTCTATTGTCCAAGAAGGAAAAATTCTGCTTGGGAAAGTTTTCAAGAGCTCGGATATCGACAAAAAGTCGTCAAATAATGAATTATTGGATGACGAATCTGATTATCAGGCAGACTCCGCAGGTATGTGCTAATGGTGTTAATGCTGCTGCTCTAGTGTGGCGTACATTTCAGAAGCGGATAATTCTTGTCGGAGTAACTTGAAGAATTTTATTGTCTTTGTTTAGTAAAGGACTTCATGGTGTGGGTAACTGAGTTGTGATGTATTGCCCTGAAACACTAGTCGACACTACATGATTAACTTAACTAAATTAACCAATAGGGAGTTTGTATGTTCCCCTCTAAAATGTCTGGCTTCCTCAACCTCATGTAGTTAAACCAGGCCAAGCACAGTAGTTTGCTACACTTGCTTCATGAGCTACTACACTTGTCAGGACCTTGGGTTTTAGAGGACCATAACTGTGTAGCCTGTATGCTTTAAAAACAAGTGGGACAAATTTAAGTCGTCTTTTGCTCTTATAGGCTGGTCCCAGGAGACGGACATGGATGAAGCCTCCAAGGAGTTATTGGAGCGCTTGGGGGCATATTTGGATTGTTTTGATGACCACATGAAGTTCAGGTCACTTGGAACAGAGGCTTCACAACTTTCAGTGGTTCAAGGTAGTATTTTTTTTTTATTTTAATATACATAAACAGGTCTGCACACTGATGTAACTTCTTTTCCCCTACAGCAAATGAACCCCCAATACCTCTGGCCATGGTTCCTCCAAGATGTGGCTACAGGATATATGGGACCGCAGTAACATTCATTCTGATTGTTCCATTTAAAGGTTGCAACATTATTCAGCAGGTACCTCAACCCTGTTAAATGTGACGGTCATACATATCTTGCTATGCTTTGCTTTTAAACCACTATAAAGGGCTGACTTCAAACTTGTTTAATGCAGATGCTAAATGCAAACAGGAATAGAGTAACTCTGCCAAAACTAACATTCTGTCTTGCTTTCCAGGGTGGAAATCACATACTCCCTCTACTCTGGCAAGGCCATCCACTGTCCCTGCTGTGTCCCAAACATGTAGGGCCGGTGGTTCCGCCCGTGGGGCCGGTGGTTCCGCCCGTGGGGCCGGTGGTTCCGCCCGTGGGGCCGGTGGTTCCGCCCGTGGGGCCGGTGGTTCCGCCCGTGGGGCCTTTTGACTTCTATTATCATGCAACAGATGATCCTGTTCAAGGCTTCCCCTTCTACCCATTCCCTCATCCACCTCCAACAGCTCCTCCTCCCACTGCAGAGCCAAAAGTCCTCTATCCCCAGATTCCTTTTAATCCAGAGCTTCTTTGGCCATACTGGCCTCAGCTTCCAGAATTTCCTCCTGTCTATCCTTGTCCTCATGGGAAATATCCAGTGCCTGTACAAAAGACTCCCTGTGTAACACAAGATCCTGCCACTACCCAGACTCCTCCTGATGCTCCTGCAACTTGGTATCCTGTGATCTGCCTACCTATTCTTCCAAATGAGCAACATTTTCAAGACATGTTTTATCAAGGTTAGCTTTGAAAAGTTGAAATGTTTAAAATAAAAGGGACTCGTCTTTGGTTGCAGATCCTACAATGTGTAGTTTTTTTTAAATTTCTTTTCCCTACAGGGTTATTTCAGTTTGAAACTGAAATGGAAACTAAAGTCTGACATGGGTCAAGTTGGACATTTTTGTTGAAAAGAGTATAGTCTATGAAAATTGATAATCGGACTACAATCAGTTGTAACTTTGCCAAAAGTAAAACTTAAAACCTTCATTATGTCCAACCACTTCGTGGAGTGGGATAGTGAGCAGTCAAATTATGAACTGCTTGGATACAGTGATCTGACACTGCACCCACCATGCCTGGTGGTGGTCAGAGAGCCCAGAAGTGCTGGTGCATTGCAGCCTTGCCTCTGGTGGGTTGTAGTCCAGGGCTACAGGCCAGTAACTTGCCACTATCAATCAGCATGTCAATGTGTGTGAATGAATGACCATGGATGCTTTGGTGTCCTCTGGGCTTGATACAGTGCTATACAAGCCGTTTATTTTTCAAATGTGCAAGAGATCAACAATAGTTGAACAAAGGGACACATTTTCTCAATCAAGTCTAATTTCTGATTGAGTCTGGATTTTTCAGACTAATTTGATGTAAGATTGAGTTTTCTCAAATTGTGGCTTGTAATAGATTTATGGTGACTTAGGGATATTGGCACATATGGCTATCTAGTATAAAATGTATATATTACCTTTTGATTTTCCTTTGTTCAGTATTGCTCTTGATATGGTAACTTAATACAGTGTATTTGGCTTTTATTCTAACTGCACTTATTTTAGTCATCCACTAGATGGAAGCAGAGGGAAAATTGTAAAGTTGGGGACTGCCAGATTGGGCACAGTTCAAATATATATATTTTATTTTTAGACCTACTGGCACTGTAAATAGTGTTCACATTTTGCCACAAGTATACAGAACTCCCTCCTTCCTTAGAAAGACACTTGTAACTCTCAAAGGTTAACACATGATTAAAATGCTGCAGTGCTCTACAATATGCTATGCAAATAAACTATTACAAAGGTGTTGAGTTTTTATCCTATTTTCCTTACTTCACTAATACCAGATTTTTAAATTACTTCAATCTTCTTAGGCCTGGCCTAAAATTACTTTGCAAACATTTTCCAAATCTGTCAGATTGTAGAAATATCCGTCTAGAGTCCTCTTTAAACTTTTTGATTTCAAAACTAAATTTTTAGATTTAGTTCTGAACTGTGGACTATTCCTACCATTTTTTTTATTTTTGTTTTGGATGGAGAAAATATCTTGATCTTTACCTTCAATCATACGGTGGAAGGTTTTGAGTCCAAACTGACTATTGTTAGTTCACTTTGATTTCAGCACACAGTTCCATCTGAAGAAACACAAATTCAGATCATGACACTGCTACAACCACATTTCACTCTAAGTGTAGTGTTCTTTTAGTGATGTTACCCAAGCAGAAACAAATGTCTAAACTGCATACAATGGTGCATCAAGAGTATTCGTCTAAGTATGTTCACACATTAAATTATCACAATTTTATATTGCACTTTTGGTGTGATATAATTTATAGATAAAATTAATAGTAAATTTAGAAAATAAAAGTCTTGAAACAGTTTCTTTAAACAGCATGTGATACAATATTTTCAGTTATATAATTCATATAAATATGCAAATATATCACAAAATTTTTTTTTTTTTAAAAAGCAATTGTTACACAGTTCTGTGTCATATAAGGAATTTATTTAATAAAGTTAGTGGCGTAGGACAAACATTGCAGGTTGACCAATCAGAAGTGTGGCTCTGTTTGATCATACAGTACCATGTCGACATTGATTATGTAAAACCTATACCCTTTAATTCTGAAATATTCCAATGTTAGTAAAAAAAAAAAAAAAATCAATTCAAATTAAATTAATGATTTCCAAATGTAATAATTTTATGATCCATTTAATGAATCACGCCCATTTAAATGATTATAGATTAAAAGGTGGCAACCTTTTCTTTATGAATGAATCTGGTTATTACTATTTTTTAATTTATTACGCATTTTTGTCACTTCATGGCTCCATTCTTTGTTCGAAATGCTGTGCAAACGCGTCAGCGTTTAAATTATCCAAACGTAGCTGTGACTTAAAGAGCCACGCAGTGGCAGCGAAACTGTTCAGACCAAAAGGTGATCAGGTGTTGCCAGTCCCAGCTGATTACACGCCGCGTTCTCTCGCACCATTTCATTGGCCGCTGCAGCAAATACTGTCTTTGCCTCCAAACGACAAGTTATTTTAAAAAGGCGTGACAAATCAATGCTTTACAGAAGTTGCGCAGGGTTGAACGATGGGTAGAGGAAAAGTGAAAAATCCCGCTGTTTGTTTGGCTGCAGTTGTTATTCTGACGTGTTACTGGGTGAAAACTACAGACTGCTTTCGACTGAGGAAATCTCAGAGACGAATCGTGCAGAGAGAAACTGGTTTTCCTCCCTCAGGTCGAGTTCAAGAAGGAAAAATCGTGTTCGGGAGGGTTTTTGAGGTCCCTTATGGAAGCGAAAAGCACTCTAAAAACGCTTCAGTGGATGATGAAACAGATTATCAATCAGATTTTGCTGGTATGTATTTCACAAATGCTTAATATAAGGAAGGTATCTCTGGCCTGTACTAATCTTGAATGACAGTTTTTTTTCCCCCTCCCTTTCCTTCAAAGGCTGGTCTCAGCAGGCTGACATGGAAGAGAGCTCCAAGGAGAAATGGAACCCCTTAGCAACCTCTCTGCATTGTTTTGGTGACCACATGAAGTTCAGGTCACTTGGACCAGGAGCTCCACAACTTGCAGTGGAGCAAGGTAAAACAAACATGTTCAAAGTAAATTTGTTACTTGGAGTGGGTATTAATATCCCCCCACTCCACAGCACATGAGCCCCCGATGCCTCTGTCCATGGTCCCTCCAAAATGTGGCTACAGAATGCATGGGGACCCAATGGCCTTTGTTCTGATGGCTCCGTATGATGGCTGCAACATGATTCAGCAGGTATCCACAATTTGGTTTAAAATGGCTTGTGTTGAAGTAAAACTCTTAACTTTGCAAGATGTTGGGATAAATTTCTGAACTTGGATATTTCTTATGCAGTTACTGCTTTGCATAAAACTTAATGAAATAAATGTAATATTCTGTTCAAATGTAATCTGTTTTTATCACAAGGGAGGAAATTACATGCTACCACTACTCTGGCAAGGCCATCCTCTGTCTCTGTTATGTCCCAAACCTGCAAGAACTAAGGTTCCCCGGATGCCGCAGGTTCCCCGGATGCCGAGCCAGCCTTACTTTGACTTTTATTCTCATCTCTTCCCTGCACCGGCTGAACCTGCAAAACCTGTGCCACAACCTCCAGAACTTCCCTTATACCTGTATCTGCACCCTTTCCCACCTCAGACGACTGCCCCACCACCTACCACGTCAGTACCTAAAGTCCCATATCCTCAGATTCCCTTTCCGCCGTATTTCCCCGTCCCATACTGGCCTCAGTTTCCAGAATTCCCTCCCTTCTTGCCTTATCCAACTGAAAAACCTCCAAAGTCTCCAACTTCAGGACAGAAGACGACAGCAATTTCATCTAAAACTACAGAGTCTCCTGAACCTACCCAGGGTCCTTCTGATGCCCCTGGACAGTTGTATCCCTTGGAGTACCTACCTGTTGTTCCAAATGAACATTTTCCGCACATGTTTTATTCTCATAAAGGCTAGTGTGAAGCTTTAAAATAAAGTTTTGAAAACACAACTTGTGATTTGTTTGTATTGAGGTAAATTCATACTGACATATAGGGGGTATTTCAGTGCTTCCCCAAAAGCCTAACAAGCTGGGATGTTGTGATTAAAATTTTGCACACTAAAAATAAAATTCTTACTCTGGGTAGATTAAGTATTTTCAAAATTGATCAGGTGTTTCTCAATGTTGCTGCAATTATTCATAGACTGTGATATCTATCTTGAGGCCAATGAAACATGGCTCGGCTCTCAAGTAGATGAAGTCCTACTTCTGACAGGATTGGGTGGAACAAGGCTTTTTTTTTTTTTTAGACAAAACTCTAGTTGTATGCTCACTTTACTCAGCTCCACATTCTAATGAAGCATGTCTGGGTTTCATTGTAATGTCTCTATAATGCTCTTTTATATCTCCAACTGAAATCTCAAAGGGCACATTCACACTCATACAGATGACAAGCTACTGGATTGAAGTTACAGCTGCCTTGGGGCAGGCTGTATGAAGCCTTTTTTTTTGTTTTTTTTTTTGCCATTGGATCTTCTGACCAACGCCAGCAGACAAAGTGCATGAAGTGTTTGCCCAGGGACACAAATGGACTGGGAATCAAACTGGTGATCCAACGATTGCAGTACAAACACCCACTGTCGCCACCAAAATATAAAATTAAAGTTGTATCTAGTTGTGGTTTGGGCTACATTCACAGTTGTCTTGATGCTCCATTCCAATTCTCTTGCTGAGTTTTTTTTTTTTTTGGTTTCATTCATACTAATTAAATGTGACTTGTGAACAAATTTACAACCACAAAGCGAAGAACGTAGATGTCACACTGTTTATGGAAGTAATCTCGCTGTTTATGGATCGATTTAATTTATTTAGCAATTAGTTGAGCTTTTTTTTACAGCTAAAGCACTGTCAAAATCATAACCAAAGGGAAGGTTAAAAAAAAGCTCAACTAATAGCAATGGCCTTTATTGTGCCACCTTATTCATGACTAAACAATATTTAATGTATTAGAACTTCTTCTGCAATTACCATGTTGCCAAACTTGTTTGAATACAAAAAAAAATAGATTTTTTTGGTATATAGAAATTAAAAATCATACATATTTACAGGTGGAGAGTAATCAGTTACTTTTATTTGTAATTTTAAAAAAGTTACATTTCACCAAACTTTTACTTGAGTAATGTCTAGTAACAACTCAATTTATGGTGCAGAGGTCATACATACATACCCACAGTTTGATACAAGGAGTCTGCTTTTTTGATCACAGTACACAAGATTTCTTGTTTCAATGTTAATTA